CCTCATGCTGCACCAAAACCTTTCCCACCAGCCACATGTTTTCCCTCAGACCCGTGGAGCGAGCGGGGCGGAGGGCGCCTCGGACTAAGACTCAGAGGCCGTTTCTCGTCCTTGACTCCGCCGGCCCTCGAAAGCGTGTCACTCGCTCCTCTTCACTAAGCGGATGCGCTGGCCTTTCCATCCGGCCCTGAGTTGCTACGTCTCTCCATTAAATTACACGTTTTTTCACCCTTCATAACTTGAATTTGTGCTCATTTTTCTGTTTAATGAAATAAGCTAGATGTTGTGGCAATGCGGGTCAATCGCGTTTTATGAGATGGTGGTTTTCTGAGGGTTTTGTGTCAAGATCGGGGTTTCAAGTCTTCCTTGCTCTCTTGTGTGCTGCTAACACAACTTGCCAACTTAACTGTCGCGCCCATGGTGTTCTCAATCCACCTGAAACTTTAATCGGGCTTCTGTGGATAAAACCAGTATGAAAAGAAATTATATATCAGTATAATTGTTTCAGCGTCAGACATTTTTAAAGGTGTCTCGCTTTCATTTCCCTCTTGCTTAAATACCCATATACTGATGAGATACAATATAGATCTTTTCAACTATGTTTTCAGTTATGCATATGTTCGTAACTTGCTATTAAACGTTGGTATTCTACATCTGTATTCTTCATGTGATATGCGCGTCTAAACTTGATATCGCCGTATTCAAAAAGGTTTACACTGAATTAAACCGACCGTGTATCATGATGCTATTGTCAAAATCTAAAGTTTGCACATCGATCTCACGGTCTCTTCCTCACATTCGCGTGGCTTTATAAATCTAGAAATTACAGAACAGATTTTCTTTGTTACGTCTTCAAATTTTCAAGAAATTAATACCCTTCTTTCAAAAACGCTCTGTAAGCAGACCCGCCTTCAAAATATCACATAAGTGTAAAATAATTTAATGTCATGGAATATTGACAGATTCCACATTAACATACAAATGCGTGCAAATAACAACAATAATGCTTTTGATGATGGTAATGGTAACGATCATTATGATAATTGTAATAATAATAAGTAATAATGATAATAATAATAATGAGACAAAAGAACAACGATGTCAATATAGTAATAATAGAAATGATAGTAATAATAGTAATATGAATAGTAGTTTTGATAGCAATAATAAAAATAATATCAAAAATAATGTATTGATAATTGTTACACATGTTACCATTACTACAATTACTACTATTCCTACCACTACTAATTTTGTTATTATCCATCATTATCATGACAAATTAGAAGCACTCAGAGAGCGCATACCTCCGCCAAGGCGATAGGATCACTGATGCAATAAATATATTTACACCAAAAGAATTATATTAAAGTCACCTCTTTCTCAAGCACACAAATGACGTCCATGTTTCCCAATCTCGCAGTGCCTTAAAGCACTTAAAACCCCTTAAACCCTTGAAAAATCCTGGATCCGGAGCATGACCCACTTCACCATAAAAACAGCTGATAACTTTATATCTTGCGCAAGATTCGGATCGTGATCGGGCACCTGAGTTGAGCTAGGACACACCTCTGGTAAAAATGAATAAATAAATAGATAAATAAATAAAATAAGATGAAATAAAATAAATAAAAAGAATAAAAAAATCAAGATCTTTTCTTCACTTTTTGAGTTGTCCTGCTAACCAACCAACAACCTAACCAACGCTACTAAAAACATACCCTTCTTGGCGGAGGTAATAACATTCTTTTGAAAATAAACGACGTTGATGATGATGACATTTAACCGGATATGAGTACATTAAATGTATTCCTTTGTGTAGTTTAGACATAAAAATACATGAAACAGAGGTTGGTGAAAACAACAAAACACTAAACTTCAGAAAAGAATGCAGTAGATCTATCACCAGCTCATTCAGATAGTTTTAATATAATACCCAGAATCATAAGAGAAATATGGTCTTTCCTGAATACAAATATCGAGAAATGCTATGTTGTGGATGTGCAAGAGGTTCAGACAAGAGTCCGAGAGAATTTAAACTTTCAGACTGCTCGGGGGAATTCCAGCTTGCTTTGGTGTTAAAGATCATCTCTTCAACGAGTGATAACAGAACCCGACTGACTTTAACCTTAATTGTTGACTTATTTATTCATTTTCATTTTCATTATCAGTGTTATTACGATTAAAATGTTTTTTATCATCATTAGTATTATTATTGTCATCATCACCATCATCATTATCATTATAATCATTATTGTTATTATTAGTTTTGTTATTACCGTTGTTTTCCTTATTGATATAGTTTTTGTTGTTATTATTTTCATTACTTCTATTATTTTCATTATTATAATCAACAGCATTACTATTATCATCATCATTATTATTATAATCATTATTATTATCATTATCCTTATTATCATTAATGCTGTTGTTGTTTTTGCTATCATTTTTATCATCATTGCTGTTATTGTTGTTTTTTTGTTGTTATAAGTAGTAGTTC